GGGGGACTCCTTGAAAGGGGGGGGGGGGAGAGAGGGACGTGACAGGGGTTGAGGAAGAGGATTTTCTTTAGTTTTAGCTTTAGACCCGGGCTTTTGTAACACTGGTACCTGTGCCGTGAAAGACCCGTCTCCCCCTCGCACTCCTTGAATCAGCCTATAAGCACATACCAAGAGTAGCCACCCCCTGACACTTATTTTTATCAGCACCAGCTTGCCACGGAAATGAAAATTCATGCTGGTATCTGTCTCACTGGTGGAGCCGAACCTTTGAGTTCTAGTACAGGAACAGCACTGCTTGCATTTTTACATTATGCATGCAGCAGTAAACCCACAAGACAAATATCAGCATTTGTTCCATTGGCTGACTGTTTGATGTTTAGGCAGCCAGAAATGCATTTAAGTTGGGTTCGCCGTGGCGAACGATGGATGCTGCAGAGCGTGGCCGCCTGCTTTATAAATTGGCTGATTTAATGGAACGTGACAGAGTCTATCTTGCTGTATGTTCCCTGATTTTCTTAAATAATTCAGAAGACTTGCTACTTTGGCAGATTTTCGTGTAATGAAGATAGAACTTTTCCATTAAGCACTGCGACTGTCATAGTGGCGAGGCCTGTCGCGGCGCTGAGTTGAGGCCTATATGAATTAATGGACCTAAACGTCTTACCTCGCTCTTACCTCCTCTCTTATTATAGCCTATGGCGCTTCCGCCATTTAGGCTTCCTGGGTCAACCTAGTCGTTACAATCTGCTTAATAATATATACATATATATATATATATATATGTACATATATATATGTACATACATATGTATATACATACGTATATACATATGTATATATGTACATATATAATATGAGAAAAATCAAACAGCGGAACAAGAATTTTTCGGTTCATCAAGTCACATACATTCTTATTCAGCATTCCAGCTGAACTTCTCAGTGCGACGGTTGTGGTGTTGATTAATTAAAATTTTTCCGGAATATGGATAGAAAGGAAATGTGATATAAAATATGAAAAAAAAGAAGGGCATGCCCCTAAGGCAAAGCAAGAGAGAAGCAAAAGAAATGAGAGCAGATAAGGTAAAGAAGAAAGGAAAGAAGGATGAGACATTGGCATTTTTCTTGTAAAATTCCCGTCATTTCAGTCATAATATTCAAGAAATATCGTGCTCGTTTTGTTAAGTTTTTTTTTTTTCCACCATAGTGTACTTTTATGCCTTCAACATAAAGTACTCAGATAATTTTTGTTTTCAGAGCCTGGAAACGTTGGATAACGGAAAACCGTACAGCATAGCGTACAATGCAGATCTGGGCCTATCAATCGCTTGTATACGGTAAGCAGTTTCTTTACGAATTTTGCCCTTGTTCCCCTCTCCCAGAAGTTCATTTTGAGGCACTGCACTTTGTCATATTTAGAATTTTCATAGGCGGATCCAGGGGAAAGGGCGATGGGTCTTTCGACACAGATGCCTGTACTACAAAAGTATGGGTCTAAAGCTAAAACTGAAGAAAACTCTCTTCCGCAGCTCCTGTCGTCTCCTTCAACAGCCCCACTCACTCTCCTCCCTCTCACTAACATGTCGCGCCCTCCCCTCCTCTCCTTCAGGAGACTATTCTGGATCCGCCTATGAGAATATTTGGATCAGCTGTGAGCAGTTTCCCAGTTATTCTGATAAGTGCTCAAAAATGCGCAGGGCATATATGCCTAGATTTTTGTCAGTCTAGGAGTTTTGCTTTTACAACTCAGTTACCATTATTAAAAAATGCGTTATTACCAATATTTGAGGTACTATGCTGGTTGGGCTGATAAAAATCATGGAAAAACAATCCCGATTGGCGGAAATTTCTTCTGCTACACCCGACATGAACCAGTTGGTGTTGTGGGACAAATCATCCCTGTAAGTTTTACATGAATTTCAGAAGGAAAATTTTTTTCCTCATCAATAACTGAAGGATTTTGCAAGAAAACTCCATATTTTAAAGAATGGAATCCCGGAAAAGTACTGAATCCCAAAAGATTCTAGAGCAGCCGACACTCAAACCACCTTTCTTTGCAATAACATAAATAAGGTTAGTATTGTCAAATAAGATATCGTTGCAGTGGAATTTTCCGTTACTGATGCAAGCATGGAAGCTGGGGCCTGCACTTGCAATGGGCAATACTGTCGTGATGAAACCTGCTGAACAGACACCACTCACAGCGCTCCATGTTGCTTCACTCATTGCTGAGGTTGTTAATTTACCCCTTCAGTGAACTCGCTTTCTATGTCCTAGCTTACTAGAATGCGATAAATGAGCAGTATTTTTAACAACAGTCGGACTTTTGTGGAAATACCGCTGAGATAGTGGAATGGTACATGGACGGTTCAAAACGGTTGAAATAGGTGAAAAGTTTTTGCGGCCATTGATAGGCCGAATCGTGATTTCTAAAGTACTGGCCCGTACGGACCATGGAAAGTGCGGGACTGGCGAAATCCAAATTTTAATGAAGGGGAGGGGGAGGGGAGAGGGGGTTTGTTAACGGGCTAAAAAGTTTTGATTAGTTGGACAAAATTTGTTTGAATAAATGTAATTGGTACGCTTTAAGCAAAAATAGAAATTGTCGTATGAAGAAACAATCCTGCTCAAGCCCCCCCCCCCCCTTCTGCCCTGCGCTAATTTCACGTTTGCAGTGGGGCACTACTTGCATTTGCATCTTAACATTTCACACTTACAGGAGGGTGGAGGAGGGGGGAGGGGATGGGTAGGAATACGAGGAGATAGGACGAGCATATATATAGGTGTATTTTAATATTGTTAAGTTTTTAAATATTTTCTAACGTATGTTTTAGGCTGGCTTTCCGCCAGGTGTTGTGAATATAGTTCCCGGATTTGGCCCAACGGCTGGACATGCTGTTTCCGTTCATCCGGGCATCGATAAGGTGGCGTTTACTGGTTCGACGGAAATTGGCCGACGCATTATGATGTCAGCTGCGGAAAGTAATTTGAAAAGGTTCATATTTTTAAGAGAAGTGGGATGTGACACTGAAGTAATGATCAAAAGAGAGCAGAAAAAAGGGATTTGCTAAAGAAAATCAAACAGAAAGCTTCCGCTATAACGGGAATATACATGAATTAGGGGCTGAGAAAAATTGGTTCTGTGCACGACATGTTGACATATTTGTCTGGAACAGGATAAATGGATAAAACGGTGGGATTTGACCAGTACTGTAAGTCCGCTGAGACGTATCCTTATTGCTTAAAGGGAGCGGAGCGTGTTGAATTCTGGCGGTCGAATTCAAGGATTTTTGCACTTATAGAAATGCGGCTACAGAGAAGTTACATAAAAAAAGAGGAAATACGAAATGTGAATTTCTCTTTTGTAAATAAGCCGGACAAAATTTGAACAAGGTCTCTAGGATAGTAAGTAGCCATCTGGAAGTAGCAACAGTACAAAAGAAATCAGCGCTTGAAGTTCAGAAGAGAACTGCTTTAATACCATCTCGCAAAGGCTACACTTAAAGAGAATTGGTCTGTGATCACGAACGAACAGACAATTTAAAAGCATCATGCGAATCGGTTAGCATCATGCGCTGGTAGCACTTCTAATTCACGGACCTAGGCTGCATTCCAAGACTTATGAATGTTACACAGGATGCAACTTTCCAAATGAAAAGCTTTTTTTGTAAAATTTTCTTTTTTCCAAAAAAAAAAAATAGATTTTTAAAGCTGTCATTGAGCTTGGAGTGCCACTTTTTTTCTTATGTAAGAGTTCTTTTCAGGATAACACTGGAACTTGGTGGCAAAAGCCCCAACATTATTTTCGCAGATTCAGATCGTGAGTTTATTTCAAGAGTAGTTTTTTAACTCAGATTTATGAATTAGATGCTGAGATAAACAGTAATGGGTAGTATTTTTAGGGAGGAGGGGCGAAAGACCCATCGTCCCCTCCCCTCTCCTCCCTCCCCACCACCACTGGATCCGCCTATGCCTACCAATTCTTGACGAAGTGCTTGTGTATATTTAAGAAATCCAGGAAATGTATTAGTTACTAATCAATGCTATTTGTAAAATTGGTACGAGAGGAAGAAGTGAAAATGCAAAACTAACTTTGATTGTTTGAACAGCTGCTATTTCGCGTTGCGTTCCTTCTCGCCGTCGTTGCTTTGGCTGGCAACTTCTCCAGTTTGTCCCCTTCTAATTTCAATGCGTTTACGTAATTTCACGTAGTCGTCCAACTTCGTCATCTGCTAGCTTTGCCTGAATCCCACTCATCGTCGGCCAGTACGATTCTGCAGAGTTTATAATAGAAGTTTATTACAAATGCACATCCGCCAATCTCGTCGTATTCGAAAACGGTATTTTGAGGAAAAGATGGGCTCAGTGCTATGGTATCTACTTTGTTGCATAGTTAGCTGATAGTACTATTAGCTTGTCGGGGCGCATGTTTTCTCTTTCATGGTATGAAAAACTGCACGTTCAATTTTCTTCTTTTTTGAAAAAATAAAAGTTTTTCGACGGATTTTTTTCCGGCAGATTTTGGCCTACTTTAGAAAAAAGAAAAATCAAAATTCGCTTAGCAACGGTCAATCACAATAAGAAGTAGAAGCACGGCCATCAAGGCGCTTTTAAGCAGCGTTCAGCCGTCATCAGCTTTACCATCTGGTGATTACTGCTAGCAGCTTCCATCGACTAGGATAATTTCGAGTGCCTCCATCTTTCACAAAGAATGTTTGCGGTAGGAATTTTGATTTGAAGTGACAAGGTTTTTAAAAAGCTCTTTTTTTCGGAGAAGTGAAATTCACGGATGTTGTGGAACAAGGGAGGAGAAAGGAGAAAGCGAACACGGGAAATTTTAAAAACTTGTGAAATTTCATCGCTAGACTCATAGGTAGATTCAAGGAGCAGGAGGGCGGGGGCAGTGGGTCTTTGGCTTCCTGCGGTACAGGCACCAGTGGTACAAAAGTCCGGGTTTAAAGCTAAAAGTGAAGAAAACTCTCTTCCGCACCCCACCCTCCCCGGTCGTCGCTAGGTCACAAGCCCCACTCTCTCTCCCTCTCCCCATCCCCTTCCCACCCAGGAAGATGCCTTGAATTCGCCTACAGCTAGACTCAAGCACAAAGACTGAAGCATCAAAGGAGAAATGCAGAACACATAATAAAAATGCAAAGGGATGTCGTCGTTTTGTGGAAGCAGCATGTGGAGCTGGTCGGTCGGATGGTGCCAGGGAGTTAGAAGCGTTTATAATGAATCGTGCTTCAAGTATTTCGAGATGCACATTGGCACATTGCTGGGCGGTTCTTCCCGTCTGATACATTCTCCCCTCTCGATATTATTGAGGGTTCTTTGGTTCTATTGAAAGACAGAAAAGAGCAGTCATCAATTCAAAGCGTCGTCCCACTGCACTCATCCCAAAATTAAAATTGAAACAGCTCGAAATGATCGTTAGACAACTTGAGAATTTGCTGAATATGCAGTTTCGTAGTTATTTTACTTATGAGCAAAAAAATTATTCACTCATCGGGAAGCTCATTTTTCTGTGCGATTTTGGAAATATTTGGGAGTTGTTTGAATGATAACACTGTGCAGACAACAGTCACCTTACCCGACGAATGCTTGAGGATAAGATGAGAGCAGTTTGGTTCGTTGTCGTGGCAGTTTTTTTTTTGGATTTATAACTTGGATTTAGACCAAAAACTGTGCCTTACTTGTTATTTCATTGAGCTCAAATGTGACAAATGAAAATCCTTGGAATGGCTGTTAATTCATACTCTTTATCACTGTTTGAACAGTGGTAGATTTTTCCATTGATTTTTCGGTTTTGCGCTGTCCGCATCCATGCCATTCCGTACATTCGAGTTTGTGAATCTGCACAGCATGTAATGGCCTTCGAACTGCTCTTTTGACACATTCTGAGCATCATTTAACTATTCGTTTCGTCCATCTGTTATCTGTTACTTCTGACGAACTCAACTTCTTTTCCATGCATTTCCGAAAAATGAAAATAAAAAAATGACTTAAGTAATTCTGCTAATGTGAAGAGACTAACGCATGAATTCGACAGCTGCTTTGGTTTGTTTTTTCAGTGGATTTCGCGGTGCAGCAAGCACACCATGCGGTCTATTTCAATCACGGACAATGCTGTTGTGCGGGAACACGAACTTTTGTGGAAAGTAAAATCTATGACGAATTTGTTGAGCGCTCCAAACAGTTGGCTGAAAGCAAAAAACTTGGCGATCCATTCGACTTGACAACGGAGCAAGGACCACAGGTGCCGTTCGATTTTCTTTGTCTTCTGGGAGGAAGCGAGAGGGGGGAGGTGTTACTCCTAAAGCAATTATTGATAAATTTATCATTCTTTTTAGATCGATGAGGTGCAGATGAAGAAAATCTTGCAATATTGTGAACTTGGAGCACAAGAGGGTGCACAACTTGTTGTTGGTGGTGTACGTGAAGGTAACACTGGGTATTATGTTCGACCGACAGTATTCGCCAATGTCACTGACCAAATGACCATTGCGCAAGAAGAGGTTTGTTTTGCGCTGGAATTCGCCCTCATTGGATGATGCCTGATTCTAATCTGATTTGATAGAAAGTTATAATATGAAGGAATGAAATAAAGAGAAAAAAGAGAAAAAGGAAGGTAAGCAATGAAAATTAGAAAATTAGTGAGACTGTTATAATGGCAAGAATTATTTCGGTCCATTAAGTCGTATACATTTCTTACCACTAAGACACCGGCTACAGTTGAGATCATCTTTAAAAAATCTTTCACTCTTCTCATATCTTTATATACGCAGTTCGTCAACCAAAGTTAAACTTTCCTCTGACATCGTACATTCACGTAATTTCGTCTAGGCGTCCAATTTGTTCATTCTTCTTCCGTTTGTTGCTCTTTATCATGCTTCATCATTCACTGTTTTTGTAAATCGTTCAAAAAACAAAAAATAAATACTGGGAGTTGTTTGTAAGATTATTTTGCATATTTTGTTTTTTAGTACTTCTTTTCCTAATTTTCCTTAGAAGCATTTCTTTTCAGATTTTTGGTCCAGTAATGTCGTGCCTCAAATTCGATAGTATGGAAGACTTGGTTGAAATAGCAAATAACACGATGTATGGCCTGGCGGCAGCTGTGGTTACAAAAGATCTTGATAAAGCGTTCTATGTTGCTAATAATATAAGAGCCGGTTCTGTCTGGTAAGATTTTTGAAAATATTTTGCGTTCATTCTTTTAAAATTAGCATGATTTTTCAATTTGACCGCGTTTTTACCCAAAATTTCAAGAAATTTTTTTAATACTTCACATGTTGAGCATATCTTTTTTCGAGATTGTAGGCGTATTGAAGATGGCAGATGGGAGAGCATATTTGCATTTCTGTGATATTTTTAATTCCCAATTTCACAATTTATCGTACAGTTGAAAAATAAGTACTAACTAGAGGTATGCAGCTCAGGATTGAAAGGACTTGAATAGAGGTATCCCAGTGACATCACTAAATCGAACTATTTCCGGGTAATCTACGATATTCTTGGGCCAACTTGTCATTGATAAAGAAGGAGACTTTAGGCATTTCATCGTAACCTTGTAAATATTGCAGGGTAAACTGCTATGACGTTTTCGACGCAGCTGCTCCTTTTGGTGGATACAAAATGTCTGGTATGTTTTTAAAATAGTCATTCGTGCTTTCACTTTTCCCAAAAAATAACTTTAAAAGGCTTTGAGGGTTGCGTAAGCGCTGGGAGAAGGACAAATGTAGGAGAACGACCAGCTTGGTCCCGTCGAACATATGATGCGTTTCAATAACATCGAAGCTTTGCTTTGCGATCTTGATGAGCTCGTATATCGTAATACAAGGTTTAAATTTTTAGGTATTGGCCGCGAATTGGGGGAATACGGTCTCCAATCTTACACGGAAGTTAAGACGGTACTAAGTTTCATATTTTTTGCATGAATTTTTAAAATGTTAACTACAAGTACTATAAAGCCAAAAATAAATTGCTGAGAATAAACCGAAAAATTTTACACACACTTTTATGGCATGTCCATTTTTTCTGATTTAAATTTTTGTATTGTAATTAATGTCAAAACATTTCTAGTATTATGTGACTGCAAACAAATGATGGGTTTTCAAGTTATGCATTAAAGACTTTGTAAAAATTTTTTTATCATATTGTCTATAGGATATTTTATAGATAATGAAATAAAACACCTTCATTTTTTCATTTCTTGTTTCATGTTTTGATATTCGATATATCAGTTTTTGTTATTTTCTATTACCTTAACCATTGTCTGATACGTTCTTGAAGGCTTGTAAATTATAGGTCACGATAAAGGTGCCGGAGAAAAATTCGTGATCAGATTTGCCGGTCGTTTTGGCATGATCAAAGGATAAGACGATTGTAAATGTTTTTTTCAGTATTATATATGCATTTTTCCGCAGTGTCAGAATATCATATGAAATGAAGTTTTTTGAACCTTTGATGTTGGCTCTTCTTATCGTTGCATTGGATTGCTCATCCACCAGTAGGGATCGTGAGTTGACTTTAGACTCTCCTGAGACAGACTACTTTTACCCTACTATGTATTGCCCGCTGTATTAGTGTTTGTGCTGGATATGAAACTGCTCCCAGTAAGCGGATTTTTGTGAAATATTTCCTGAGTCCTGTGCCTTTCACAGAGATTTTTGACATTTGCCTGCTCTTTGGTGAAACTAGGTGCACCATTGTGATATCCACTTTACATAGTTTCACGTACATCACTCCTGTGTGATTTATACTTTGGTACTTTGATCAGCTGTTGTTTCATTGTCTCGTTTGTTCTAGTCATTGATTCAGCTGGCAACTTCTCCATTCTCGTCCATTCTGAGCCTTGGACTGACTGATGCAATTTGATTTTTACTATTTTAAAGTTTCATTTTCTTAAGGACTGTGCTGTATAGTTTTCATCTACAAGATTTCGGATATCGTGCTCATCGTGTTTTGCATCTCTGTACTAGTAATTTCCAATCTCCAGAGCATCTGATTTTACAGTTTCTGCATTCTATTAGTGGCACAATTATTTTGCAGTTGTCATGTGTAATTTCTATGGTGCATTTTTGTATTTCTACCAGCCTTTTGATATTATGCTTATTGTATTAGCTTCACAGTATTGGTAATTTTTATTTTTTCAACTGTTTGATTTTACCTGTATTGTGCGCGCATCGCCATAGTGCTAATCTTTAATTGATTGATCCTTGATTATTTTAAGCTTAATGTATGCGCATAATTACAGCAAGTAACTTTTTTGCACTTTCAAGTTTCTGATATTACACTTATTGTTAACGGAACGACACAGTATGACTCATCGTATGCCTACCTTTTGATATTATGCTTAATTTATACGCACTTTTATGGTAGTAATTTTTATTGGCCAGACACATGATATTATTCTTATTGTATGCGTATCTCTGTAATTAGTAGTTTTCCTCGGCTGAACTTCAGGTATTGTATTTATTGTATGTATATCGATGTGGGCTAGATTTTTGCAGCTGTGATGAGCTCCATTAATCGTGGATCTTTGTATTACTGATGAACAGTAGTATTTTTTATCAAATTTTCACAGTTCCAAGTTGTTTAATTTGTAAATTTTTGTGTGAGCAATGGAAAATCTATGTTTTTATAAAATTTCCTTACAGTTTTTTGGGCTTTCACAAAATTTCGAGCAAGGTTTTACCAAGTGTTTTTTTTTCTAATTTATAAATTGAGTGTATTATAATCGAATGGCGTTCTGGCAGGGAGATATCCGAAAAAGAGGCGTAAAGGAAAGTATTGATTGGGATTCGCCGCTCAAAGAGACTTCTGGGCTGCAAGTGGGAATACTAATTGATATGTTTAGTGTTTCAGATTGAATATTTTTTAAAATATTTAGTATTTCAGATTACTTAGATGAGAAGTCAAAAAAGCCAAATTCAAGCTGATGGACATGGTGCAGCAGCAGTTGGTACTGGCTTCATGCGGGAATTCGAAGGGCTGAGTCCGTCGATGAGAAAAGCAATCTTACGGTTCCTTCATTCATTTCGGTGAACAAACAGTGGAAAGAGGTGAACAAACGGCATTGCAATGTGTAAAATTAATATTGGTACATGTCATGGAGTTGAACCGCCATCAGCTTACTTTCGAAACAATTCTCGGATGAGTGGTTCCCTAGCAACTTTGTTAGCAGTTAGTCCGTTGTTCTTTCACGTGATATTGCTCATTCTATTTCGGAATTTCTTCGCTTCTGGTGAAGAATCAATTCAAACGGAGCAAATTCTAAGATTTTTTACCGGGAGCAAAGTAAGATGCATCAGAGATTTTGGCACTGGAATATTTATTCTAGCGACTTTGCAAAATAACTAAAAATCAAAATACAACCGAAATTCCTTTGAAATTTCAAGAACTGCGTTTACTAAAGCTGAATAACAAAAAAAGTATCACAGAAAAGCATAGGCTCCACAGTGTACGTATGAATTTTCGAACACCTATTGGTTTTCGCCGTTGGTTATATCACTCATTCACTGGAAATGATTTCTTCCTTGGATATTTGTTTGGGCACAAACCTTATAAACAGACTGGCCTATATCACAATTATTTTTCATCAAAATTTTGACCGGTGCTTTCATAGTTGGCATGATTTAAGAAATGCATTTGATTCTTATCTTTTTAAAATACTGGAGAGACAAAAAGTAAAATGGATTCTTTTCGAATGGTGAAAAGTAAGATATAGGAAAATGCAGCAGATCTCTAGTTGTTTATGAAATGGAACCCCTTCACTACACTAAACCCTAATGCAGCTGCAGTATAATTGGGGAGGACCGAACGGGGGAGGGTGATGGGAGGGAGGGGAAGGGGGAGGGGGGATGAAATCTTGATCATATTGGTGTTTCAACAATACAGCAATGTTTAGGACTCGATTCACTAGCTGTTTTAGCCCCGGGTTTTCCCTTTGCACATTTTTTCTTTTTTGAACTGCGATAATAATAACAATAATAATAACAATGATAATAATTGAGTGAGACAAACCTATTAGCGGTAAGTGAGTGCTTGTTGCATGCCCTTGATAATATCATCCAAGCGGTCATAGAAATGAAGATATTGTTTATGTCGAGCTGTATTTGTTATTGAACCAATTCGAGTTCCATCCGGACCTGAAATTTGGCTCATGATCAGAAGCAGGGGCACATGCAAAATTCACCAGTAGTAGCACATTTTCAACAGTAGTCAATCACTGTGTGCGATTCCTACTGTCCATCCTACTTGAAAATTGCTTGATTTACAAGCTGAAGGCGCCTCTTCTTTTTAGCAGTGTCATTAATTCTAATTTTAATTACACTATTAGTCTAGTTTAATTCTGTAAACCGTTGGACATTAAGTGATAACTACTCGACATGCTAAGCTCACTAGCGCTACACTACAGACGTGGTCCACTTGTGGTGCTGAAAAGGAATGTATGCGACTTAATGGGCCGAAACATTTGTGCTGAGGGTTTTTTTTTTTGTCCATTCCACATTACGTGAATATTCTATCAATTTTCCTTTCGTTTTCTTAATTTGCATACTGATTACCAAAGCACCACTTTACCACTAACCTAAGTGAATGTTAAGTATAATCACTGAACCGGTTTAACGAGTCCTAAGGAGATTAGTTTTCTTGCAGGTGAGTTCGAGTTAGCAGCTTGCCAAGGGCATCGGTAAAATTTATGTGAAAAAAGACCATAATAAACTTTGAAGATCGGCAAAGACAAACTTAAGAAAACAATGCGTGGCGTGTAGCGTCCATCCGGCGAGAATTCATCATCATCCGGTCGCAGAATCTCCGAATCTGCTACAGTGGTCATTATAAAGTTCTCACTTAGCTGAACAAATTTTTCACGATCTGGTGATCCCTTAATTTCGTCAATCAGCTCTGAAACTCAATACCTTTCAGGCTTGAATTGGAAAAGGAAGAAAAGAATTAGAAATGTACAGCGTGAATTCAAAAAATTTAGTTTTATGGTGGCAGAGATGTCGATTTTCGTGCTCGTCTTTTGTTTTAAGACGGCAGTGCAAGCTGTTGCAAGGAATGGATGGGAGGCAGGCAGGTTACGAATGAATTTCACTTCTTTAGGTGCAAATAATACATCAGTGCTAACCGCGCTTCCATCTGTATCAACTTTGGCAGTTTATAACCGGAAACTCTAAAATACCAGCTACTACTTGTGTCGTTATGAATTAGTGCTTACAGCCATTATACATTCACATGCAACTGGAACACTGGTATTGCCGAGAACATTCAAAAAGACGTACATGTAACTAGTGCATGTGCACTTTTCTTAAACTAATATATTACTTGTTTTGGCTGTTTTTATGCGTTTGCATCAGCATATACACACACACACACACACACACACACACACAAGTGCCATTGGTAAATTAGCATTGCCAGCTTCATGTGCATTTGTTCCAACAGTTTTTATGCGTTTCTATACGTTTTTACTGTGCACTGCTATAGCGCTGTTACAGCAAGCAAAAAACATATATTGGCAAGAGGCTGCGTGTGTCTGTGTTGTGTGTACGTGCGCCTGTGTCTGTGTGTTCGCACTTTTTGTCATCCACTAATTTGTGTTTGCTACATCTGCTCCATCCTTTTTACAGTGTTTTGTCACTGTCGCATTTTATTTCCGAACGTCAAATCTCAGTGCAGTAAACCAAATTAAAGATTTCAACTGACATATCACGTAATGATGATGAAAATTGCCGAGCTCAGGGCTCAGGACGAACGTCAAGATCGTGAGCGGGTTGCTTGATCAGCAGGAGACGCAGCACTGGTCAAAGTTAGTGGAAAATAGTGTCAGCTGCTGAATGGCTTGCAACCGATCGAATTTATTTCTGTTTGGCTAGGACTCTTCGTTTTTTGTAGGAAAGCCCTCTACGTTGCAGTTTTTAGTTTGATACAGACTGTAGTTTACTGCTCCCTGCTCCCGAGACTCATGACCGTTTGGGAGAAATTTTTTTTTTTTCCAAAAAGCCCAGCGCAAATAAAAGGAAAAAAGCTATTTACAAACATCGATGCTTTACCTTCTTGAAGCTCATGGCAGACGTTCACGTCAAAAGCTTAGTCGAAACAGTTAATTATTCTACATATTTTCAAAACTAAGCAGCACTTCCTTATAACTGCCGTCATCAAAAGCACCATTTTCTTGAAATGCGAAACGATTTTGAATTTTCTGATGATTTTTGGTGCGTTTGTACTTTAATCAACCGTACTTTTTTAGCTCTTTCTCTGACTGTGTAGCCGGCAACTTTTCCAGCTACTTTCAGCACTGTTGCAACGTCTCTTGGTCAACCTGCCGATGATCTTGACTTTCGTTTTGCCTCCAAAAGAGATTATCACTTCATGCAAAGTGAATATGAGTTGCGAAACTGTTGAACTTACTTCTGCATTCCTCACACTCTAAATTATAAACGAGCAAGAATATTGGCTTGTGTTGCATTTTAGCCAGAGCCAATGCGGTGTGGTATGGTACCCAGTTAATGCTCCTTTCGAATTCTGAAATTTTGCAAAATTTATTGAAAGTGGACTTTACTTAAGATTATTGGGAAAAAATTTGATGTTCTGCCTTGACTCTCTAACAATGGCGTTGACAGCCATCTGCGTGACTTTTGCTCACATAAAGTAGTTTTTGCAAGAAATAAAACGATCATTATCCACAAAGAGATGGAAACTGCTTACCATGTGTGAACGCCAAGCATTGAGTCACAACAATCGCCAAAAATACCGTAAAATAGCCAACAGCGGTCGGCATCCTGGTATTCACCTCTTGCAAAATTTTTTATTTTTATGAGAACAACGTAAAGCAACTCGCACATTTTCTAATCGCATGTAAAATCTTTGCTTTATGACTTTTCCTAATTTCCTTAATTTTGAAGACGAGTTTTGTATGAACATTGGTATAAGTGATAACCAATACCTATGTTTATTTGCATTCATACTAATTATAAATTTTGAAATTTACTTGTACTGCTATTCGGAATGATATAAATATATATATATTTATATTTATATACAAAATATGGAATAACGAGAAATTGTCAACTGCAACAACCACGAGAAAACAAAACGATGATGCGAAAGGAGATGAACAATGTGTGAACAAAGCATTTCCGGCGCAACTTTTTGCTATATATATATATATATAT